GGGATGGTGGGGGAATTTAAATGCGAGCGCGAGGCCACGGGGAAGGGGCCGACTCGGTGGGAGCGAGGGGAAGGAGCCGTGCGGGGGGCATGGGGCCCGAGGGGGGTGCAGGATCGGGCGGCGGGTGGGGGAGGGGAGAGCCCACTCCCTCGCCAGCTTCAGCAGCATCAACAACAGCTGTTATTTATTGAGGTTTGGTCCTTTCTCAAACAAGCATTTATGGGGCGCCTCCCGTGTGCCAGGCTCTGTGCCTGGGGCTGGTGAGTAAATGCCAGTTGGCCCCGCCCTCCTGGAGCGCCTTCTGAGGGCTTGACCTGCCCTGGGCCTGCCCTCGGGTTCAGGTCTTTTAACTCCTTCCCGTGGAGTGGGCTAGGCTGGTCCCATTTCACAGATGGGAAAACCGAGGCCGGAGGGGATCCCCTTTGGGTCTTGATTGCCCCTGGGTGGGTCCTCAGACCCTGAGGAGTGGGTACATGAATGAGGGTGACCTGGATGAAGGGGCAGGGTTGAGATTCCAGCCCCAGGTGGCCAGTTTTCTCTTGGGCTTCTTGGTGCCTGGATAAGGAGGGAGGGGACAGTAACACCCCCCCACACACACACCCCTGCACCTCACAATTCCAGATACTTACCAGGCAAGGCCCCCAGAGAGTGGGCGAAGCCTTGACCTCTGCAGAGTGTGGGCTAATAACACCCTTGCAGGGCCGAGGGGAGGAGGGGCTCCATTGAGCAGCACACATTGCGCAGCACACATTGCGCAGGTGCCAGGACCCCGGGGAGCACTCTCGCCCCCTTCACTTCCCTTGAACATGGAATAGCCTGTAGAGCTCTTGGATACAGCAGGTACTCCATAAGCACCACATTCCTGGAGCTCCCGCACCCCTGACCTTACCCCAGCCTCTCTGGACTCCAGCCCCAGACCAGAGAGGCATCTGGTCCTTGCTCCCAGGGCTCCCTGCGGAGAGCCTCTTGAGCCCCTCCTGAGGAGCCAGTCCGCTGTCCCTGGCCTCTGCTGGACATACCTCCATCACCCGTGAGCCTCCTGGGATCAGCCCTGGGCCACCTTCCAGATCCCTGTTGCTGCATCAGAAGGTGGCTGCCCTTGTGTTCTCAGTTTGCCCTTGACGCTCAAGGCCTTCTCTCTGGGCCCAGTGGCTGGTCCAGCTACCTGTCCCGTGTGTGGCAATGGACGGCCTCCAGACCACAGTGGGAATTTCAGGACTGCTCTGAGCCAGGCCCTTCCAGGCTGTGCCACTTACCAGCTAAGAAATCTTATAATTAATCTGCAAAACTTGGACTTTGGGTGCAGCGGTGCCGTCCTGAAATCCCAGTGATTTGGGAGGCAAAGTCAGGAGAATGGAAAGTTCAAGGCCAGCCTGGGCAACGTAGTGGGATCCTGTCTCAACATAAAAAAAAAAAAGGCTGAAAAGGGCTGAGGAGGTAGCTCAGTGGTAGAGCACCCTGGGTTTAATCCCAAGTACAAAACCAAAAGACACACACACACAGCCTCTGACTCTTTATTTGTCCCCCCTCCTTTCTGCCACAGCTGCAGAGTTCCCTTGGGGTCTCTCTCCTCCTGTCTGGATGGAGTGGGGCTTGGCTTGTGCCGTCAGGTGTAGGAAAGGCCATACTATTCTTAGTCAATGAATCTTTTTTTCAGGGCATCCTGGGAAATAGAGTTTTGCATCTTGATTGGATTATTTACTTAATGGAGAGGGTGGGGCCTTGTGACATTGCCCAGGTTGCCTCTGAATTCCTGTGGCCCTCTAGGCTGCTCTTTAGTCCTTCACATCTTGACTGAAGCATCACCCCCTGGGCAAGCCCTGCCCTGACCCCCCCCCCCTTCCCAATTTAATATCACCCCCTCCACACCTCCTCTCCCTTCCCTGTTTACTTTACTCCCACCAGGAGTCACTACCTGACGTACTCTGTGGAACCCTTGGATTTGTGGATCCTTGGTCTCCCTGCAGCATCTCAGCTCTGCGAGGGGAGGTGTTGTAGCCCAGAGATCTGGTGCATTCAGGGCGGTCTGGCTCAGACAGCAAGGTCATTCCTGACCCCGGCATAAAGTCAGCTCTGCTTATCCGTGGCTGGAGGAGAAGATGTTCTGCAATATCTACGTGGGGACTTGGCGCTCACTGAGGGAGGCTCCGCAGGCCTGCGTCCCAAAGCTCAGGCATGGAGAGAGATTGGATATTTCTTTCCCTTTTTCCCCCCCTTTTGTTTTGTACTGGGGACCCACCCTGGGGCCTCACAGCGTGCGAGGCCAGCACTCTACCTCTGAGGTCTATCTGCAGCTCTTTTTAATTTTTATTTTGACACAGGCTCTCACTAAGTTGCCGAAGCCATCTTGGGACTTGCAGTCCTTCTGTCTCGGCCTCCCAACTACCTGGGACTGCAGAGGGTCTCCCCCAGGCTCAGCAGAGGGGGGTGTTTAAAAACCCACCTTAACTCCTCTCGCGAACTTCCCTTTCAGTCCCAGGATGGGAGACCAGGCTGGGAGCTTCTTGCCAAGGCACCTGCCTCTTAGAACCCAGGCAGCAGAGACTGGAGGGAGGGGCTTGTCCTCTGCAACTGAAGGACCTTGTTCAGGTAATGAGCTCTGGCTCTTTCAGGGACCTGTCCCCAACTCCTCTTGGCCCAGCGCTCTGGGCCTGGGCAGAAGGGCTATGCAGCATGTGGTGAGGTGGGGCCCGGCCCAGGGTCTCTGTGTGTGTATAGGGCAGTGGGCACGGAGACCTCACCCCAGGATCAGCTCAGAGCTGCAGTTCTCCCGACACCCCATCTGACAGGAGGGTCAGTGCGACCTGGTTCAGTCTCACAAGCTGTGCAACTCTGAGTGTGAATCATCCTCTCTGAACTTGGTGCTTTAACTGAGAGATGGGATTAACTGTCTGCATTCACCTTAGACTACTTTTGTGCTATTTTTTGTTTTAATTTGGGAAGAGCACAGATTTATTCCCTCCTGGCTCTGAGGTTGGGCTCTTGCAGGTGGAGGCCAGGCACCTGCAGGCGGGTTGCCGCTTCCAGACAGGTTCTTGACTGGCGCATCCTCTAGAGGGAGGATTGTTATGTCCTCACCTGGCAGAAGGCTGGTGGGGTGGGGGCAGCACACAGGGATGAGAACTCGCCTGCTCCTCCATGGCTTTCCGTGGTCACAGAGGTCCCTCCTGAGAGCTCCGTCCTTGTGAATTAAATGCCTCCCCCAGTAGGCTGGCCCTCCCAACATTGCTGCACTAGGGACCAAGTTCCTAACCGGTGAGCTTTGGGGAACACATTCAAACCCCAGCACCGTGGGGTGGTGGGTAGGGATTAGATGAAATGGGTAACTTACAAGAGGTCTAGCGAGGCACCTGGTGCAGCAGCCATGGTTAAAGTTACTCTTATGGTCATTTGATAACTGTACCAGGAGGAAGCCCAGATAACAGCAGGGAACCGCAGTTATAGGGCTCTGCCTCAAGAACTCAGCTTGGTGGGGGGCACAGGGCCCACAGTCCCTGGACTCATGTGCCCGTAGGGACCCTGGGAGCCAAGAGGAGACCCTTGGTTCCAGGGAAGGCTTCCTGGGAGAGGGGAAGATGGATCTGTGGCTTCAGACTGGGGCCCAGAGGTGTGGGCGCTCCTATGCAGAACTCACCAGGTTGATCCTTCGGGGTGTCCACTGGAGCCCCTCAGCATTAGGAAGTCTCTAGGTCTACCAGGCACAGGTTCTAGGGAGACCCAGAGGCAACCTGGCCCATCCCAATGGGCTTCGATGCCTTTACGGGTACTCAGTGTAGCTTCTGCAAACCAATCCAGCTCAGCTCTGATCCTTAGTAGCCACCAGCCTAGCAGTCCCGGACTGTATCATTTTATATAAACTTTTTATTAATTCTATATGACTTCATTGATTGATTAAAAGAATTATTGGGGGTTGAGATTGTGGCTCAGTGGCAGAGCGCCTGCCTAGCATGTGCAAGGCCCTGGGTTCGATCCTCAGCACCACATAAAAATAAATAAAATAAAGATATTGTGTCCAACTAAAGAATAAATATTAAAAAAAAAATCATTGGAGCTGGGTGTGGTGATGCACACATGTAATCCCAGTGACTTGGAAGCCCTAAAGCAGGAGGATCGCAAGTTTGAGGTGAGCTTCAGCATCTTAGTGAGACCCTCAGCAATGTAGTGAGACCTTGTCTCAGAATAAAAAATAAAAAGGACAGGATGTAGCTCAGTGTCCTTGGGT